GGCTGTGTAGAGAAGCTCTGAGAGAGGTGGAGCCTAAGCCCATTCTGGCTGTGTAGAGGAGCTCTGAGAGAGGTGGAGCCCAAGCTCATTCTGGCTGTGTAGAGAAGCTCTGAGAGAGGGGGGCCCAAGCGCATTCCAGATATTTAGATCAGCAGGCACTGCTAGTACTTTCTCAAATTTTCAACTTTCTATACTTTCCTGATTTAGGGGTAGAAAGGCATAACCCATCCAATTAAGATTTTTCTTCACTATTATGAGGTAGTGATATTAGGGGAGGCTGACATCAGTCTTACCTGGGGACTTTCAAGCATCTGAGAGATTTGCCTGGATGAGTCCTTTCTGGTCCTCACCTCTGGACCCTCTGCTCCTTGTCTTCTAATTGCATTCATATGTTGCCTGGAGTACAGGAACACAGCCTTGGGTTAGCTGTGCCAATAGTAACTTCCACAGAGCCTAAGGCCTCACCTGGAATCAGATGTTCATCAATACCAGAAGCTGATTGGATGAGGAGAAGTTGAGAGTTTGGAGCTGGGAGTATTGGGAAGGAAGCAGAGAGAGTGCAGGTGTTCCCAGAAGCCCCACATTTCTCAAGGTTGGTTTGATCCTCATTGGAATCAGAATTGCTAGGGGGTCTTTTCAACCAGGAAGACACCTTAGGATGGTACTCAGGTGGGTCCCTTTGTTCATTCAAGTTCCTTGGATCACTCTGGTACACTTTGAATTTTGGGAAATAATGATTTGAAGAGAGAAAGGGACCCCATATATGAACTGTCTTGGGAATCATGATTAAGCAGGAATTTTTAATTTCTAGTGTCTGGTAAGGACAGATATCAAATGCTTCTAACATTGAGTTCTACTTAAAAATAAAGAAGTAAGAGTTTGAAAGTAACCAAAGAGGGCAAGTTTAGGAAGAAGTATTTGAATTTTATGTCAAGAAGATATTAAAACAGTTTTTTTCTTAAATGGCAAGCTCTAGGCTTATGTAAAAAAGTGATTAAAAGTAAACCACAACTTTTAAACTTGTTCTAGCAGTTATTGCAAGTAAACTACTTTATATATCAAATATTTTTTCATAAAAATATTTTAAACTTTTCATGTTTGTTCTTGGATTAATGGGTCATAGGTGAGCAGTCCAGAGTATTTCCAAAGATGCCATAAATAACGTTTTCCTTTTATACAAGGCACAATTTCAGCAGAATGTATCACCCTTCCCTTGTAAAAGTGTTTTCTCATTTGTTAGAACCCTGAAGGCTGTTTATACAGAGGTCACACTGTTTACTTATGAGGCATAACTTTGTTGTAAATTTCAGTGTGTTCCATCATTATATATTTCTGGCCACAGCTGCAGGGAATCTTATTAGGCCAATTGTAAACCACCTGAATATTTTAAAATCTTTATTGTATATTATGCAGTGGCAAAGGTAGTGTTTTTCTATAAACAATTATGTCTTTCTGGTTTTAGATGCTACAGAGGTGTTTGCATTCTGAGTTTATACCAAGTTACTGCTCTGAAAACAAGATTTGTTCTCAGAATACAATACTAATTTGGTATAATGAGTTTCAGTGTCTTTTCCATTAAATTTTGTTCTTGTTTCAGTGGTAAGAGCTCAGAGAAGCTCAGCTTTAGGGAAGTGAATAATTGGATAGAGATGACCGATTTGGTCCATGCTTTCAGTGCAGATCACAGTATGTTCAACAAATTATTGTTGAGCACCTGCTGAGCTCCAGCTACTGCCCTAAGCATGTGGCCTTTCTCTCAAGGATCATTTTGTTCTGGTAATGAGAAGCCTCTAGTTAAAATCCAGTGTAGGTGTGCATCAGGGCCATTGGGCAAAATGAGCAGTGAGGATTGGGTAAAATGTGGCATCTGGGGCTTTATGGCTGGACAACTCTTCCCCCGTGGGTATCCAGGGATCTTGGCATACCACTCAGGGGAACAGCTTCCGCAAGGAGAATCTGCCCAATCAGAAAGTGGTTCAGCTATGCTGGGCTGGGCTGGGCGGGGCTGAACTGGGCTGCCTTCTGGAAGAGAATATTCAACAGACCTGAAGATGTCAAGGCCCAGAGACTGTGGAAGGATTTCAACACTATTTTAAGAAACAGAGGTAATAAGGAGTCATAATGAATTCTGAGCAGAGGAAGTGTCAGATTAGTGTATCAGAGAGCTCACTGAGGGGATTAGGGAAATTGGAAATCTGTCAAATTCCCACTTACATGTAGACCTCCAAATATGAAAATTTCTTCTCCTTCTGGGCTTGCATTTGTACTGCAGGGTGTGGGGATGCAGTAAGCCTAACTAACTCAGAACTCCCTATAGGGAGCTCTGAATGCTGCTAGCAATTCAGAAAAGTATTTAGGACTCAACTTTTTATTGTCTGCGGACAAAAGTTTTAATTAGAAAAATCAATGGTTGAAGACTACTTTGAAATTGCTTATATTCCTTTTCTTTTCTCTTCCTGTTTTCCTTTCTTATTATGCATAATATGTGTCAAAGATCACCTGACCCTATTTATGGGGTCCATGTGATATTTTGATACATGCCTGCAATGTGTAAGGATCAAATCAAGATCATTAGGATATCCATCACCTCTAACACCTATCATTTCTTTGAGTTAGGAACATTTAAAATTTTCTCATTATTGGGTGGCACCTGTGGCTCAAGGGAGTAGAGTGCCAGCTCCATATGCCAGAGGTGGCAGGCTCAAACCCAGCCTCAGCCAAAAGAAACTGCAAAAAAAAATTTTTTTTCTCATTATTTTGTAATATACAATAAATTGTTAACTATAGTCACCCTACTGTGCCGTTGAAGACTAGAGCTAACTTATTCCTTCTAACCGTTTATTTGTACCCATCAACCAATCTCTATCCCTCTCCTTGCCTCCCTTCTAGACCCTGACATCACTCACATGTCTTGAAAGAAGCTAATATTGTAAGCTTTTCAAAGAGGAACCTCTTATGTACATTTGTTAATTTTGTAGTAATTCGGCTCGGCGCCTATAGCTCAACCAGCTAAGGTGCCAGCCACGTACACCTAAGGTGGCGGGTTCAAACCCCCAGCCCGGACCCGCCAAACAACAATGACGGCTGCAACCAAAAAATAGCCGGGCGTTGTGGCGGGCGCCTGTGGTCCCAGCTACTTGGGAGGCGGAGGCAGGAGACTCGCTTAAGCCCAGGAGTTGGAGGTTGCTGTGAGCTGTGATGCCACAGCACTCTACGCAGGGGGACAGCTTGAGGCTCTGTCTCAAAAAAAAAAAAAAATTTGTAGTAATTCTTTCCAGAAAGAATCAAGGTCACTATGTACATAAAAGTAATTATGATGTTAATTATGCATCATTCTCCTTTATTTTTGAGATAGGTGTTCCCAAAGATACAACAGGAAAAGAATTTTATAAATAACATAATGTAAGTTCTGGAAAGTAATAAATGTATATATTTTTTGAATACTATAATTTAGAATTTTAAGTAATTGAAGTGAGTCCCTGTACTAAACTATGCAAAAGTTTAGCATACTTTCCCTTACATTTTCTTAAGTCAAGACATATCTTACAACTGATGCATTTGGTCTTTTTTTTTTGAGACTGAGTCTCATTTTGTCATCCAGGCTAGAGTACCATGTGTCATCACAGCTTACTGCAACCTCAAACTACTGAGCTCAAGAGTTCCTCCTGTCTTAGCCTCCCATGTAGCTGGGACTAAAGATGTACACTACAATACCTGGCTAGGTTTTCTATTTTGGGGGAAAGACAGGGAGCCTTAGCTCTCGCTAAGGCTAGTCTCAAACTCTTGAACTTAAGCAAGTCTTCTGCCTCAGCCTCCCAGAGTGCTAGGATTATAGGCATGAGGTACAGCACCTGAGCTGATGGGTAAAATTTAATGTAGAGTTTGTTTCTACACCTCCCCGAAAGCTACACAAATAGTGTGTAGCTGATAGTGATTTAAGTAAAGAAATTCAGTATTGGTGGCATTGGTTTTGAGTAAGGCTGTTTGAACTATTAATAAACTTCCACAACTTAGCCTAGTAAAAGAAATACTGTAATTCAATGTGCACTTAAAGCAAGTGTTAAAGCACTTCAACAATTCTACGTTGAAGATCTCTTACTATCAGAATGTAGTTCGATGTAGTTCACGTATAGAAAGCAAACAGTACAAACAAAAGAAGGAGCTTACTGCAGAGCTACGTAGTAGAGCAAATATTCAGACCAACACAGAGCTCCAGCATTAAGACCATAGTTTTACAGATTTTGATATAGTAACATGATGTAATATTATAAAACTTTTTAAATGTTTCTAAAAACCATGTAAATAAATGAAAAATGTTTATGTTTTAATCTTAAGTATAAAGATGAATAAATAATACACTGTGAAAACAAGTGTACAAAAATGCACGCCTGGAAGAGCATGACTCTGCTTTTTTTTTTT